AAGTGAACTGCGCAGCATGCTGCTGCTGAACTTTGTTTGGTCTCTCAAGTAGTAAAAACTCTTTTAATTTGCTGCTCTTGCAGAGAGAAGCCTGCAGATCCTATGATAGGTGTCCTTACACATTCCTTTTGCACCACTCCTGCATGCCTGTTTCCTGTTACTCACAGGCACAAGGTGCGGCCATCTATAAATGTACATTCTACACACAGTATATGGGCAGCACATAAACCTAGATAGGATGATTGCAAGCTGAGCTCACAACACTGAATGCTGTTTTCCATTCAAGAAAGCTAGCTCCAAGCAGAATGCCTTTTGCCCAGGTTTCTCTCTGACAGTCTAATATTTCTATAAGTAGGGTCACATGAAGACTTTTTAAAAGCATGAACATCCAGTAGAGAAGGCTTTCCACCTTAAATGCAGCATGTGAGGACTAAGCTAGTTCTAACTTTTTGCAGAGTTACGTTGATTGTATTTCCACACTACATTTGCTCCTTCTGTCTATATATTTCTAAGTTGACACAATATCCTGAATTGCACTATAGAAGTCCCTGAGACCACATCAGTCACGAACAGGAAAACATATATGCTAATCAACAGAACCTGGCACCCTTTGGATGTGTTGAACGACAGTCTTCACCATCTTAGAGTGAGAGACAGAGATGGGGGTATTCTGATACTAATTTGTATACAAATACCCCTGCACTGGTGGAGATAATGAGCATCCAGCCCCATGAGGCCGGAAGGTCCACTTGCCGATGCGCTAATGCTGCAGGGTCCGCATTCCCGTCCTATCGCTCCGCAGATTGTGATCGCCGAGCCACTCCTGGCAGGAGGCGGGACAAAAACCTCTCTCCCAGGTCGAAGAGTGGCTCGCTGATTGCGATCTCCGGTGCAAAAGGACAGGAGCGTGGACCCAGACAGAGCGTGGACCTAATGACAGAGGCTGTGGTGCAATTCATCTAGAGCAGTGCTTCCAAAACGTGGGTCTCCAGATGTTCTTGGACTACAACTCCCAGCTAGTGCTGAAGGCTTCTCAGACTTTCAGTCCAAGAACACCTGGGGACCCAAATTTAGGATCCACTGATGTAGAACGTAAGATGGATAACCTATACAGGGCGACTCCACACAAGATTCTCTTGTAGGAAGAACATGGGAATTGCACAAGAGAAGAACGCTGACAAAGAAAGAGTGAGAAATCAAACAACCAATGGTGGAACTAGGGAGGGTAGCTGGCACTGTGCTATCCCAGCAGCCAATCCTGGAAAAAAAGGCCCTAACATTTTTGCTTCTCCAAAGCCATGAGTACATTTCACTCAAAGAGGTGGGCATACCAAAGTAAATGGGCTCAGTTTATATGGCTGCCTCTGAGAGGCGTATCTTGAGCAGGAAAAAAAAAATCTCCAAAGCAAACACAAACACGTGCTAACTCCCACAAGGCCTGCTTATGCACCATGTTTCATCAGATGTAATGTCTTTGTGTACAGATGCAAAGCCTGGTGGAAAGAAAAAAAATAGGATGAGGCAAAGATTTTTATCCATTCCTCCATGCAGCTTCATATGGAAAACCTTTTAAACTATCCTGATGATTATCATCACTGGAATGGTTTTAAATGTATTATCATGGAATTCTGCAAATAAGTATCTAAAGATTAGAAGTCTAATTGCCAGTCATTCGTGTCTCATCAATAGCCTCAAGCTTTAAAAAAAAAAAGGATCAAGTCTTCCAATGTACCAAAATTTCTCTGCCTGCACACCTCTGGGCACTTCTTACTACTAACAAACAGCCATTCATAAATCTGATACACAAATATCTATGGAAGATCTCTCACTCTATAAAATAATTTCTGTTTACTGGTGGTTGGCCAAGGTGAAGACTACACAACATTTGAAAGCATTTTGCTGGCTTTTCCTTTCATTTATCACAAGGTTAACAGCTGTATTTTCTGTTTGTGTGTCTCCTACTACCAATGAACAAAAGCTTGTATGTGCAAATTAAACGCAATGCACTGGAAGTTAAAATTTCTGTTCCTTCACCCCAAGGAAGCCATTCAACAGGTTCACATAACCCAGAACTGTTAAATTTCTACATGCACTCTTTAAAAGTCATACAAACAGTAATTAGAAAAGGATCAGATCCTATATCTATGCATGTTAAGAAGAGTAAACATCAGCATGACTGTCCATTTGCTACAGCATCCTGGTATTCTGATATTACAAAAACATGTGAATTAGCCTTCAGTGTTCACATTCAGGAAAATAAGCAATAAACCTAAATGCTCCATTTTCATAGTTTCCAAGTATCAAGATTCCTTAATTAATTATTCAAGTGTGAAGCTACAGAACAATGGTGCCCTGGAAAGAATTCTGCAAGATTTAACTATTAGTTCCTGTATCTGTTAGAGAAGAAACTTAAAATGATACTTATTCTAAGCAGCTTCATTTCCCAGAATACAAGAATCTTGATTATTCTAAATGGCAGACAGTATTCACAAAGTAATAAGCATATGCTAGCTCAGCCACCCCAAAAAATCCAGACTCTGGTTTGGGAGGGGAGACCATATCATCCAACAGCAGCATCCCACGACCATGGGTTGGAAAAGCTCCCGCTGGCAACCAGTTGCTATGTTACTTGGGAAACTGTGGGACCTGCAGTAAAAAAGGGAACTTTCTGAAGCTCTGGCTAAAACTGGGGAATATGTCTGCTGTCCGATTAACCCTCATTTGAACTTGAGGGTGGTTCTTTTGAACATTAGAATGCACAACACAAAGATACGTGTTGTACGTGATGCACCCTCTATATTGTGACTCCATTTTAAAGATTCAAGGAAGAGAAGCCTCATATATGGAACTGTTTGACCGTGGTTGGAAGAAGCAAGAAACACAATTCATCCACACCCATTCCTGCATGAGCTATCACAAAGGCTTTGTGATTTGAACATCCAATTATAACTGCTTTTCTTCTTGCCTCAGAGAATCTTCAGAGGATTAACAACTTTCCCCCCCCCCATCCCATCAGAGAATCTATACATGTTAACCCAGCTCTCTAACTATAAACTTTTAAGTGCCAGAATGAGTAAGGAACAAGAGGTAACAGTATGGAAAGCTACGCAGAGGACTAAGTTCAACAACTCTGCCATTTGTGGTTCTTAGCACCATACCCCACCTTTAAAAGTGAAAGTATTACATCTTTAAGTAACAGATGTAAACAAAAATGTTTTTTGCCTAGCTGACATATTCTACACAGCCCTTAGTGGCAGAAGACACATTGTGTGGCCATGCTTAGCCCTTCTGAATTCAAGGACCCTACTCCCACAATAGGTTATACAGAGCTTTCTCTGTAGCTCTATATAGAATCAAGCTATGAAGAAGAAAAGCAGCAAAACCCCCTGAGGACTAGCTGAATGCATTCTTAGGCAGCGGTCTTCCTAGATTCTGCCATTAAGAGAAACCTTAGAGTGCTGCCCCCTACCATCACAGCTTTCTACTCTAATGCATTTGTTCATCTCCTTTTACACTTATGAAGAGAAGCGGGAGGGGGGAAGGGAGTGAAATTTTGAAAGAGCAAAAGGCTTGAGAACTTTTGCACACACCCCTTCCACAGCAAAATGAAATAAATCTGCCAGGAGACACTCAACGGACAGTATCTCCCGCGCCAAACTCAGTTTCGGCCAAAGAACACCATAGAAAGCAAAGGCTCATCATCTTAGCAGGGGGTTTCTCTTTAACCAGATACGAACAGAAAAGGAAAACCTCTCAGCATTAGCTGAAACAAAAGTGCAGACAAAATCGCACCATTAAAGATGTTCTATGGTAATTAAGACAGATACAGCCTGCTTCCGGGTTATAACTACCTGATTTGAACTTCCTTGGACACCTGAAAATCTACTCTAACTCCACTTCAACTTGAATTTGCATGTACAAAGAAATACTTTACAGTAAAGTTTCAGTATGTCCATGGAACACTATCTGCTATATTGATAGAATGTAGCTTACTAAATATGGCCAGAAATACCTACTAAAAACACAAATAAGAAATACTATATGAGCTTTACCTGCTCTTTAAAAAGTCTAGTTCTTAAGTATCAGTGCAAGTCACCGTGTGGGCCAGAGGAAAGTAAAGATTTTTAAATGCAAATGTCAGGGAGCTCACATCTCCCTAGTCCTACTTTTTGAACTAGGAATACTCAACAGAACAACATATAATAAAGATTATAAAGCCATTTATCCACTGACATGTGAACATTTTTGCACAATCTGATTTTCTGCAATGCCAAAAGTATACAGACACATCTAAAAAGCACTGTAATGACATCACTCTTGAATTCTATGGCACATAAACTGTGGCCAATACATTACAGGAAGGTGAGATCTCCATGGCAGCTACCCTGCTTCCCTGAAAACCAGCCCTAGTATGATATTTCAGGATGCTCATAATATAAGCCCTATCCCAATAATAAGCCCCCATTTAGTGCAACCCCACCCTCCACCCTTGTGCAGCAACCAGAAGATGACATGACTGTACAGTATTTGAATAAATGTAGATTGTTGGACATGAAAAAAATCTCCTGAAAATAAGCCCTGCTGTGTTTTCTGGAGCAAATATTAATATAAGACCCTGTCTTATTTTCAGGGAAACATGCTAGAAGGCAACAAGTAATCTCTGTATTGTACCTATGTCTGAAGAAGGTCCATGAAAGCTCACATTAAAGTATGAGTTAGTCTTTAAGGTGTCACAGTTTTATCTTTTTTATTTTGTCTGATACTCTTGCAGATTAACATGGCTACCTCTTCTAAAACTCCCAATGCTTTAAGTTCCAGTATCTATATCACTTACCCACAACATAACATAAATACAGTATGCTTACTAAATGAGTGGGCATGGACTGAAAATTCTCTGAAATTGTTCAGCCTTCAACTACACAATAACTACAAATGGAATAATCAATCCAACATTCAGGAGTCATGTTATGATGTTGTCACTTTTACCAGACTGAGGAGCTTCACAGGACAACTGAGAACGTGACACAGAGAGCGACTGGAGTTCAAGTCTTGACACTGCAGAGACAAACCTAACTGACCTCCCGGATTTATCTAACGGAGAACGATTAGATATCATACCACAACCATGACAGATTTGCTATCTTCACTTGCTGCAAGCTAGGAATCGGCACTGCTTGTCCTGGATACATTTAAATCTTAAATAAAACTGGTAGCAAGGTGTACCTTCCTGTATTTCATAACCACCTGACGCCACTGTTTACATACATGCATATACATATATAGTAACTCTCTCTTCTTGCTTAGAGGATCCTGTTTCATCTTGATGGAGATGGCCTCCACTCACAAAAGTTTATGTCCTATTTGCTGACATTTATATAATCAAAGAAAACGCCTTCTGTTTGTTCCTTTTAGAGCAGCAAGCGAATACTGCGCTCTTTCCAGACCTTGGCCTGCAATCCCCACCAGCCAGCAACACAGCAATTAATGGGAGCTGCAGTCAGGCAACATCTGGAGGACCACAATATTCCTGTCCCCCAAAGCTTACACACATGCATACACGTGCGCGCACACACACACTTGCTGTTGCAGGAAACTGCAACCAGCACTAGCCAAAAGAGAATGCTCTTACTGTATTCTTTTGAGTGGCTAGGAAAAAGGGCGAGGAGGGATTTTCCTTGTGGCAACAGGACCAGACTCCCCCTGGCACCTTGTTTTACTTGGCACAGGCTGTTGTGGACCATCGATGCCCACTTCAGCCCAGGCGTGGGGGGGGGGAGGTCCATTGAGAGGCCTGTCGCTCCAGGCCAGGGATGAAACTCAAAGGCCCTTAAAACCTTCCTGCATCTAAGGTGCCTCCAAGGCTCTTTGTTTTGCGGCAGAATTAGGGAGAAGGAGAGAAAGGGGGAAGAGAAGAAGGGAGGAGGAGAAGAAGG